CAGTGTAGCATTCATTTAAATTATTTAAATGGCTTGAAGATAATTGCTTGAAACAAAAATGCGGACTAAAGGGCTGGTTATCCTCCCGCAGCACTGTGTCGCAGTGAGCTTGTCGCAGGTATGACGCAGACATTTGCGCTATGTATATTCCATGCCACAACACAAAAGGGGAAAATCACAAACTAGCTGTGGGTCTAGACACGGCCAAGGCGGTGAGGAAATGGGGGCAAGTTTTTTCGACAATGGAGGGACACAAGGGCAAAAAAGAACAGGGATCCAGGTGGAAAAAGGGTTCTGGCGTTCTCGCGCACCTTTCTTCTAGCTGGTCCAAATTCACGAGTCGTTTTCCCCAATGGCGGTCATACAAACAAAACAAGCCGGTAGGGTACAACACACGAGACGCATAGTGTAGAGCTGATGTAGATTTGACCAATCAGACGCCTCCTGTCTGCGGTCACTTACAATTTGGGAGAGGTGCAGCAGTGTCTGGCGGAAGGGGGCTGGGACGTCTCTGCGTTCACAGCGACAGCTACGCAGACGACCTATTTTCAAAGTATAAATCAGCCTTTAGTATGTCTAAGAGATTCTTTTTGTATTTAAGCCAATTTATTCAAGATGTAAATGTGTGTTTTACCTGAAAAACATCTCAAAGCTTTATTGGTTCTGTTAGTAGAGTTGAGTATTTATATTTAAGGCTCGAAGTACACCAAGACTCAGATTTATTAGCAGAATCAAAAAGCATAAACGTAAACAAAACATCAGCTGATCGACTACTGGCCCCTTTCCCCATAAAAATAAAAATACTTTACTTTTAAAAAGACGATAACCGCAGTGGACAGAACGTGGATCATCCACTATAACAGAACCCGTCTGCAATCTTTTGATAATGTATAATTAAAACAAAATTTCGTTTTGTACACACTCTGTGTATACAAAATGACAATAAAAATGTTGTCCAAGTCTGAAAGAGTACCTTGTCGTCACAAAAAAAAAAAAAAGCTATACTAACGACCCATTTCTGCCGAAAATGAAAGAAACTGCTGCAATGAAAGCTGCCTAGCAACATGACTTGGATTAAAATATCTCAAAGTGCAATCAGCGTGCCCGGATCTAAAGAAATTGAGGAACAACGCAATTTACAAAGTTATTGACATCATTCTGTCTAATAATAGTTAAAAAAGCCATTGCTAAGGGTGAAGGACTCCAGCAAATCAGAGTAGGAGCATAATTATCCACAACCAGAGAAAGGCTGGAATATGGGGAATCTTTCCAGGAACGACCTGCTTACCAGAAAAGCTCCAGGAAAGCATTGACAACTCATCCAGGAGGTCAGAAAGTAACTCAGAGTAAACATTAAGGGCTGTAGACCTCAGTTGCCCCTTGTAACCTTGCTTGACCCAATTAAGTAATAGAAAATAATGGCCTAAAGCCCTCTAAGGTTGGAGGGCTTACCCCACCAAATGCGAAAACACATTGGATCATCCGTAGAGTGTCCACGCCCAGCTGCCGCTGTTGAACACAATCATTCTAGCCAATGAGAGTGGTTGCACCTGGCGCGCCGCGGAGTGTTCTTGAAAGCATCCCAGAGGCATGGTCAGAAGGACTCTTCCCTAAAATATGCAGCTGCTCTATATTTCAGACTTGAGGCAACAAGTCCTCGTCAATCTAGATTAGAGATGATAGTTCAGGCAGGAAATAGGTTGCCATAAGATGATACCAGAAATGAAGAAAAGCCCAGCCTGAAGGGTAAGGTGACCAGATAAAGAGCAGGCATGCGCCACTCCGTTTGTACTGGCCACTTTATTGTTCCATTTAAAGCCTGCATGTATATACTACTATACTGCGCGGTGAAGAACTCCTAGGGTGATTCGAGTCCAACCGCTCCACTCTGAAATACTCCCGGTGGAATCGGGCGCTTGGCAGAATCAGTGGCGAGGACGATGACAAACGTTTTCAGTAGTATCCCGGGGTTAGGCTGCTTAGCTTTAAGACCTCTTGACTTGCTCAAATTTTGATCTGTCGCAGAAAAACTTAGAGCAGAGTGTATGGCCAATGGTTAATGCCAACAAACAACCCCTGTTCTGAATGATTCCAAAGAAATCACTAAACAAAATAAAAGATAAAAACATCTAGATTGGCCCTTATCATAATCTAGACAAAATTCATCTAAGAGTTTGTGGTATGACCTTAAAATTGCCGAAATTTAACCTACACTGGTTATTTCTGTGTGAAACTATTTTTGAGGATTTCAAAAAAGTTAAAAAACAATCCACTAGACTTTGCTTCCAAGTTTGAATATGTTTTGCTTCCCATCCAGGAAGCTTTTTCAATTTACATGTCAGAAATAGCGTTGAGTTTGAGGCTTTATAGAGTGGACCAAAAACAAAGCCTTGTTTTGGCTTAGAAAACATGCACATTTTTGATGAGGTAAATCATTAGTGTAACAAATCCCACACTCCTTTTCAAGCATAAACTTGAAAAGTAGGCCTGGGCAAAAAATTGATTCAATGATTTAATTAGAATTTTTTTGTGGCCGGCAAATTTGAAAAAATGAAAATTTTTTTGTATAGGGCCGCAATTTTGGCTCCCCAGAGCTTCTGTAGCAGGAGTTTTACTCCCACTGGTGCAGGTCGACAAGCGAAATCATGGCGGTGAACGTGAGAAGTTACAAAGCTCGGCTAGAAGCCTAGACTGGAAGGTGATTAAAACAAACATACAAAAACATAAACTGGAAACGTTTGTGGAAGCTCGGGTAATTAGCAACACAGTTAGCATTAGCCATAAGGGTGGGACTTTTCTGATGGTAAAAAGCATACTTTATGTGGCGATTTTCTCACCATGGAATGTTTTTATTATGAATATGCTGGATTACTTTTTATCTATGGACCCTTAAGGAGAAATGGAATATAAACAACCTAAGATTGGACTTGTAATATGGCTTCAGGAAGGCTTCAAAGGTAGGAAGTCAAAGCTTTATTTTAATTCTGATTTAATACGCTGCTATATCTTTATTAATTGTGCTTTGGTGCTCACCGTGTCCAAACAATGAACTTAGTTGTTGAATTGAGGAGAATCTAAGCTTTCAAGGATGTATAAACATGTCTGTATTGGTAAAAGTTTAACATGTGTTATTTTCAAGCACGCTTCTGTACTTAATGTAGATATGCACAACGGAGCAGCGGCAATCAGGTGGATATTAAGAGGTTTTAATAAGTTAGGAGGGGGAAATCGGATATAGATCGTAATTCGAATTAAAAGCAAAAAAATCTGAAATTTCATGTTTAGGCCATATCGACCAGCCCCGTTTGAAGGGGTCATATTAGAAATAAAACTTATAATAAAGATGACAGATGCATCAATCAGGCTTTCAGGAACATAAATACCGTTTTTTAAAGGTACAACTGCCCAGCAGAGATTTTCTCTGTAAGGACTTTAACCAATATGAACATATTCAATTAAATCAAATGGAATGAACTTTAAAATTTGTGCTTATGGCCTCGGTATACATTAAGTTGTTTTGAGCCTAAAAGGGAAAAAAAATGCAAAAAAAGGAAATGCATGATTGGCATTTAAGCTTAAAAGCATAAGTCACTGACCTCTTTCTGAATTTTACTAACGAAAAAAGGGTGTTTCTTGATGCATTTACAAACCAAAAAGGAGGGAATTTCCAGGCTTATTTTTGACGCTTTTAGCAAATGCTGGGGTATAAACCTATATTCAATTTATCAACCATTATAGGAAAAAAATTAAACCCAGCGATTGAACGGCGTGTGACTATTACCGACTACAGTCGAAATCAAGCTCTTGTATTTCTAAGACAATGAAAAGAACAAATGCCCTCATTCATGCAGCTACATCTGCAGTCATCTTTGTAAAAGCCTCCTCTGGTTTACACAAGACCTTATAGTAGATGTTAATGTTCATTTTGACAGTACTAAAAAGGAAAAAAAAAATACATTTACCTCCCATTTGTCACATTAGACTGCAAGTTTTATCTAAATTTTGAGGTATATATCCATATTAATATGTGAAAGTGAAATCTGAAAGCTTTATGAAATACTAATTCACACAGATGTTTTTCATCTATTCACTTTCCTTTATAGCTTTATGTCTACAATCGGATTGATCGTTGCCTAGCCAGTCCTCTAAAAGAAAAAAAGAAAACAGACAGCTTTTGTATGAGGCAAACACACCCCCAAGATGACAGAGTCGCCAGCTCTAGGAGGATCAGGCTCCTAATTACTTCAACTAAGCAAGTTCCCTGTGTGTATCAACAAATCCTATTCCCTATTACACCAGACCTGATGGTGATTATCTCCAAAAAAAAGGGGAATTTAGTAAATAAACGGCGGCAAGATCACTGCAGACACCAACACCCATTTCAGGGTTTATGCTGCTCTGCTTTCTTTTAACCCACTGAAACCTGTTACCAAGAAATTCTCCAAATTTAACCTTTTCTTTTGTTTACATGCAACGGATAATTATAGAATTTAACCTGTAGCCGTTCATATATGAATATTAAGACGATTGCTGCTCTCTGACAACCTAAGCGTGGTCTTGTAATGTTTTAAAAGGCAATAATGAACATAGAAAACATAGCATGCTGGAGACAAAAGCCCACTGCAGCCCGTTTTGCTGCCCTCACAGCGTCTCCCCTCCCCAGCCTTTCCAGCCCGTCACTGCCTCGCTGACTGACTGCCTCTGAAAGCAGCTGCTACGCTCCGACATTTTCCTACCTGCTCCCTGAACCCTCGCTTTCAAGCAGTCCGCCACGACAGAAAAGAAAGACACTAAAGTAACTCGGTCTAGATGTCATAAACTACTCAATGTGTGTAAGGCACGTGGCGCACAACTATACAGAGCCCACGCAAACACTTAAACGTTCATTTTCGCACGCAGTTTACGTCAAGTTAGCTCGCTGTAATGTAGCCAAACGGCTAACTGGGATTTCTACTCAACATTGATCCAAAAAAACTATCAGGAAACTGCCTCGCGCTTACCTTCGACCCGGATCAGACGTTTCTACCGACTCATCCACGTCCCGCTATAACTTAAAATCCCGTAATATTAACAGTTATTTTCTAAATATTGTAGCGTTAACTGTAGCCTACGGCTGTGTGACGTTCATCGCTGCCTTTGAAAACATCGCAGCCGTTCGTCTGTCGTCCGCTCCCGAGAAAAGCCTAGCAAAACACGCAGGGGGCGCCACGATTGGACGAGAGGAGTCACGTGACCCACCCCCCGAGTCCCTACTGAGTTTATAAGACCTCCGTCTGCTGGAAAGAGCCTGGCTGGGTATGTGTCAAACGATTTTTTTAGGTGGTATTTTGTCGAAGCTGTGAGTAAGTCTCACTTTTTATAACTTTTAGTGTTCTTTGTTCGTTAGCGTTTTGCGAATTAGCGGAATGTTAAACGAATACACATTTCCCCCCCCTTTTTAATCGGGCGAATTCGTATCGAAGAGAGGGAGACAACGACAGGAATGGCCGCTTGACGTCATCTTTTCCGCTGCTGTGCCGCTATCAGTAGGAACTTTCTCGAAAGATGGCTGCTTAGGTTACACAATAGATATATTTAATAATGTTACAGCCGGATGCTTTTACTTTGGGCCCAGCGCCAACGACTGTGTGGTGCTGTTCTCGTTTAATGCCCGCCATTTCTTTGTGTGAATGAGTCAGCTTTGAACTGGTTGCGCAGTGGCATTTGCATCAGGGCGGACTCAGTGCGCATGCGTCGCAGGGCATAATGTTGCAGATCAGTCTAGAGCAGAGAGGTGGGGGAGGGGGACATACTGAGCAGGAAAAAAGCCACCAGGGTATTAATGTAGAGCTAAGAAAGCAGTGACAAAAGTAGTATTACATACTAACACACACTCGTGTTAACATTTTAATTAACAGTAATACCAAAATAATCATATTTAAAGTATTTCAGTAGACCGCATAGGGATACATACAAAAATATAAACATTTCTAGTGATCATTTGCAACAATTGAAAAGCCAGAGGTTTATTACACCTGTTACCATGCATCCAAAAGGCTGCATGGTTAGAAATGACTACAATTAGCCCACATTCATTCATAAATTCAGCCAAATTGGCATTTATGTACAATAAAACCCAGAATTTTCTCACTCCTACTTCCATCCCCAAGAGAACAACCAAAAGGCTGCATCAATGAAATCAAACCAGTTTCAACAACATATTATGTGAATGTTGGAAAAAAAAAGAGTAGGGAAGTTTATGATTAGGCTTATTTTTACTAATTTTTGAATATTTTACAGTGGAATCTGCTTATAATGGTCACGTTCATCCAGAGGCAATTGGAACACTATAAGCGGTTGATTACTATATGGGAATTTACAGTTATTTCACTTATTTTTATGCAGAATATCATCTAAATGCCATTTGTCTGGTTTTTCAATGAGCAAAATGAAATGAAATGGATAGCTTCCGCATCTACTGAATTTTATTACAGTACCATGTACGGTAAGTTTAATTACAGTGTTCTGCGCAGATATAACTGGTAGCTTGGTGCAGCTGGTGCATTTTTTTTTACAAGTCTGAAGTTTGAAACAAACATACAACAACAAAATAGAAGATAACTGCATAGGCTACAAAAAATTAAAGCTAGCTTACCTCTGTTTTGTGTTGCGGATCTGCTGCACCGCATTAAGAAATCACTTCACATATTTATTTATGGTTCCCTGGATCAGAGTGTTGTCCAACACCGAGTTCACTTCTTTTTCAAAACGATCTAAAAGGTCAAAGTTTTGGAAACCAACATGCAGGAGACCAGTCTTTAAAATGCAAACTGCATTCCTCATCTCAGCTCTGGAAGGGAATACAGTCTCCTCTTCTTCATCGTTCATTTCCGGTCATGACTCGCAAGCTAGTTCTACTTGTCCGCTTGTCAACTTTTTATGTGAGCTAGCTAGGCAGAAGCAGACGCCCAGAAAGGAATCTTGGGAGTAAAAAAATAAAATAACTAGGCTACACGTAATTTTTTTTATTATTTTGGCACGTTTACATTCATAAAATAGCCAAAAATGACACTATAAGTGCATTTCTTGATTACTATAAACGAATAATTTAAACAGCATTTGTATAGAAATGATTCTGTCCCAAGCCTTTTGAACACTATAAGCGGTTCATTACATTATCCGTGACCACTATTAGCGGATTCCACTGTATTGCCAAACCTTTTTGTATGCTCTTTGACAGAGCTCTGAAATCTATGAGTAAGTTATACATGTTTTATGTTGTAAGGGTGTAAAAGAAAAACTAAACTGTCTGCCTCTAGTCTTAAGATACCCTCAGATTTGCTGTTTGTTGGCT